TTTGAAGAAGAAAGATTGATCTCAGTTTTGAAAGAGAATGAGAAGGCTATAGAGTGGACGTTATCTGATCTCAAAGGAATCAGTCCTTCTTATTGCATGCATAAGATTCATATGGAGAATGATTTCAAGCCTGTTGCACAACCTCAAAGATGTCTTAATCCAACTATGAAAGAGGTGGTAAAGAAAGAAGTATTAAAACTACTTGATGCAGGTATGATCTATCCTATCTCTGATAGTGCTTGGGTTAACCCAATTCAGGTGGTCCTGAAAAAAGGAGGTATGATTGTAATTTGTAATGATAAAAATGAATTAATACCTAATAGGACTGTTACAGGTTGGAGAATGTGTATAGATTATAGAAAATTAAATCAAGCAACTAGAAAAGATAATTTTCCTTTACCTTTTATGGATCAAATGTTAGAAAGGTTAGCAGGACAGACTTTTTATTGTTTTTTGGATGGTTATTCAAGGTATAATCAGATAACAGTAGATCCAGAAGACCAAGAAAAAACTGCTTTTACTTGTTCTTTTGGTGTGTTTGCTTACAGGAAAATTCCATTTGGATTGTGCAATGCCCCAACAACTTTTCAAATATGCATGTTGGCTATCTTCTCAGACTTGGTGGAACAATGCATATAAGTTTTTATGCATGATTTCTCAGTATTTGGTGCATCATTTGACCAAGTTTGAGGAATTTGAATACTGTATTAAAGCGGTGTGTTGATACCAATTTAGTTTTAAATTGGGAAAACTGCCATTTTATGTTAACTGAAGGTGTGGTGTTAGGCCATAAGATTTCTGCAAGAGGGATTGAAGTTGACAAAGCAAAAATAGAGATTATTGAGAAGCTTCCACCACCAACAAATGTGAAGGGCATAAGAAGTTTTTTACGACATGCAGGATTCTATAGAAGATTTATAATTTTTCAAAGATTGCAAAGCCACTAAGCAACTTGCTCAATAAGGATATTTCTTTTAAATTTGATGTGGAATGTTTGCAGGCTTTTGAATTGTTAAAACAGAAATTAATTTCAGCCCCTGTGATAATTGTCCCTGATTGGAAATTAGAATTTGAATTAATGTGTGATGCAAGTGATTATGCTATAGGAGCAGTTTTAGGCCAAAGGAAATCTAAGAATTTTCATGCTATACACTATGCTAACAAAGTTCTTAATGCAGCCCAAATTAATTATGCAACTACTGAAAACGAATTGTTAGCTATAGTTTATGCATTGGAAAAATTGAGAGCATATTTGATTGGTTCATCTATTACTATATATATACTGATCATGCAACAAATAAGTATTTGTTAACCAAGATAGATTCTAAACCAAGACTAATTAAATGGATTTTATTGTTGCAGGAATTTGATTTGGTAATCAAGGACAAAAAGGGCTGTGAAAATTTGGTAGCTGATCATTTATCCAGATTAGTTAATACTGAAGTAACTAACAATCAATTAGAAGTGCAGGTGGAATTTCCAGATGAAAAACTGATGATGGTACAAGAAAGAACTTGGTTTGATGACATGGAAAATTTCAAAGCTGCAAAAGTTGTCCCAGAAGAATACACTTAGCATTAAAAGAAGAAATTATTTAAGGATGCCCATTATTTTGTATGGGATGATCCATATCTTTTCAAGATAGGAAGTGATAATTTGTTAAGAAGGTGTGTGACAAGCAAGGAAGCTAAGAATATTATGTGGCATTGTCATAGTTCTCCTTATGGGGGTCATTTTAATGGAGTTAGAATTGCTGCAAAAGTTCTCCAATCTTGTTTTTTCTGGCCTTCCTTATTTAAAGACGCGCACAACTTTGCACAACAATGTGTTGATTTTTAGAAAACAGGGAGTATTTCAAAAAGAAATGAAATGCCTTTAAATATTATGTTGGAAGTTGAAATATTTGACTGTTGGGGGATTGATTTTGCAAGACCTTTTCCATCATCATTTTCTAAAGAGTACATCTTGGTAGCAGTAGATTATGTGTCAAAGTGGGTGGAAGCAGTAGCTACTGTAAAAGCGGATGCCAAAACTGTGATAAACTTTTTAAAGAAAAATATATTCTGTAGATTTGGCACTCCCAGAGTTTTAATCAGTGATGGAGGATCACATTTCTGTAATACTCAACTTCAAAAATGTTTAGAGCATTATGGGGTCAGACATAAAGTTGCGTCACCTTATCATCCACAAACTAATGGCCAAGCAAAAGTTTCAAACAGAGAAATCAAAAGGATATTAGAAAAGACTATTTCATCTTCAAGAAAGGATTGATCAATAAAGTTAGATGATGCACTTTGGGCTTATAAGACTGCATATAAGGTTCCTACTGGGTTATCCCCTTTTCAGCTTGTCTATGGTAAGTCATGTCATCTTCCAGTGGAAATGGAGCATAAAGCATATTGGGCTTTAAAATTTTTAAATTTTGACCCAAAAGTTTCAGCAGAGCAAAGAAAAATTCAAATGCATGAATTAGAAGAAATGAGACTTAATGCATATGAATTATCCAAGTTATACAAAGAGAAAGTTAAGGCATATCATGACAAGAAGATTGTAAAAAGAGAATTTCATGCAGGCTAATCAGTTTTACTATTTAATTCAAGGCTAAGAATTTTTCCTGGGAAACTGAAATCTAAATGGTCAAGCCCATTTGTAGTAAGATCTATGAGTCCTTATGGTGCTGTAGAATTAGAGGATCCAACAACAGGAAGAACGTGGACAGTCAATGGGCAGAGAATTAAGGCATATTTGGGGGATGCAATGAAGGAGCTTCATCCCATTATCTACTTAGATGATCCTTAAAACAAAAAGGCATTGAGCTGAAGACGTTAAACAAGCGCTCCTGGGAGGCAACCCAATGTTTTGAATTTGTTTTTTTTTTCTTTTTGCAATTTAAGTTTTTTGTGCATTTTTCTTCCTTAGGTTCTTTCTTTACAAGATTGCTCCAGGTACACAGTGCACTTCTCCTCAAGACTTTGAAGCCTTACTTCAATGGCCTGGGGACAATCAAACTTTTTCGGAGGGGGTGAGAAAGTCTACAGCTGAGGCTGAGACACAAGATAAGGAGTAGATGACAAGTGAATAAAATAAGGGAGGAGACTTACTTTATTTTTAATGTTTTTAATTCCTTTGTTTTTAATTTAATGTTTTTAATTGCTTTATTTTAAATTTTGAATTTCCTTGCTGTCCCATAATTTGGTTTAGAGCCATATATGAGATTATTGCTTATTGTTTAATTCAAATCTAGAACGTGAAAAATATTTTTGATTGTTTCCAATAATAAGTGATTTTGGGATATTGAGTATGATAGTGAAAAGGAATTGATGAGGAAAATTAGGAATTAACTGAATTGGAGAAGCTAGCCAAAACCCAGGTGAGCAGAGTGCCACAAACAGATAAATTGAGTGTCAACATTTTGTGATGATAACTAATATTGGTTGATTCTTTAATGTGATTACATATTGGCAAGACTTGAAAATGATAAAGGCAATTTTTTCTTTGTAGTAGATATAACCCAGAGCCAAATAGCCAACCCTGCATTAATTATAGGACATCCATTTGAACCCCTTCTGAGCAAAAAATAATATTGTTTCTTAAACAGAACCCTTAAGCCTAAACACTATTTATCTACCTTCCTATATTTGAGAAAGGAAATGAATATGAATGTCACTATTTTTCTTATTGTTGGGTATTGCTATTGTTGTCCTACGGGTATTATTGGGGTGTATTGTTAAAAAAAAAAGGTGTAAAGAAAAAGGAAAAACAAAGCTTAAAAAAATTGGCAAAGCCAAAAAGAATACATGCAAAAGCAAGAAAAAAATATTTATTTATATAAATAATTCAAGGGGGGAATAATAACTTGTGAGATTATTAACTCACTGTCATTGTGTTAGGGACAAAAGCATGAAGTTTGAAACCTGACTTGAGGAATTGTTAATCAAGAATCGTTCATATTGTCGCCGCCTCCCCGAAAACGGGGGCGCGGTCGGAGCGACGCGATGGTTTTTCGACTCTTCTTTGATTTTCGCGTTTTTTATTGGTGATTACAACGCCTTTAGGTTGTCCGATAACCGGGCTAACCTAGGGGCGAGGTTTTTGAAAAGTGTCCTTGGGTTGTCCGATAATCGGGCTAACCCAAGGACTTATTTGTTTTAGGTTCTATGGAGTCGCCACCGATGTTTTTACCGGAAACATCGGAAAAGGGGTTTTAAAAGGCGTTGGTTTTCGAAAACCAACTTTGGTCATTAGAACCAGAGTTGGGTAAGGGAGTTGGTTACGTGCAAAGGGAGTATTAGTCCCTTTACGACGCCCCTTTCGGGTTCCCTATGACAGGCCGGCTTATTTTATTGATAAACTAGAAAAATACACTTTCGCCCTTTTTATTCTGCGGAATTTAAAAGTATGACTACATGGCCCTAATATCTATTGCATAATTTAAGATAAAAAGTTAAAGGTGAAGGGAGAGAATTTGAACCTTCAAAGCACGCTTTTTATATTAATTCTCTAAAAAATAGGGTGCTTTATGGCAGCCCTTCACTCTACAAGACGTCGGAAAACCTCTCGAACGCCGAAAATCACTCTTGAAAGCACTCGGAAGCTCCGGAAATGCGTCGGAGGGATTCTAGAGAGAAGTTTTTAGAGAGAAGGGAGAGCTATGCAGCTGTGGTGTGTGGAAATGAGGGGGGGAGAGCCCCTATTTATAGGTTTTCGCGCTGTCAGGTGGCGAGACCGCCGTCTCGTCCAACGAGACCGCCGTCTCGACCTGTCAAAATGGCGAGAACGCCGTCTGGGTGAACGAGACCGCCGTCTCGTCCTTCACAGGTGGCGAGACCGCCGTCTCGTTAAGCGAGACGGCGGTCTCGCCTCCTACGTGAAGCGAGATGGCGGTGCAGGTTATCCGGAAGGCGGTCTCGTCCCTTCAAAGCGAGAAAACTTATTTTTTGGTACGAAACTCCCTCCTATCCTAGTATGGGGCCTAATAGTCTCTCCTAATGGCTTGTTAGGCTTGTCCATCTTCAAATAGGAGGTCTTCTGGTCTTTATTTGGAGGCGGGCAAGATTTGGGGTCTACAGCTGCCCCCCTTTATCCGATCCGGTCGATTGCTGGCCTTACGTGTCGGGATGATCGGCGGGGGTAAAGGAGTTGACCCTCTTGCCCGGTTGCCCTTCGAACGTCCGTCTTGCGGCGATTGATCTTCGGGGAAAACTTTGGTGTTCGTGCACTTCAGAGATACTACTTCGACGTAGCCGATCCCTTCGGTGACAACGTGGTAAGACCTCGGGAACTCCTTCTAACGGAGCCGATCCTTCGGTTGATGGGTATGAACCCCCCATCGGGGTGGTAGTTGCGATCCGTTGTGTGGGACCGGTGGTGGTGGCGGCTCACTTGCTCGGGTAGCTCATGCGCCGATGTGAAACCTTAGGATGCTCCTTCGACGGTAGCCAATCCTTCGGTTGATGGGTATGAACCCCCATCGGGCTGGTACGGTCCAGTTGTGCGGGACTCGGATGGGTATGAACCCCATCGGGGTGGTACGGTCCGTTGTGCGGGACTGGATGGGTATGAACCCCCCATCAGGGTGGTAGTGCGACTTACTGATCCGGCTCGAGCGCAGATCAGGCGCATCTCTCTGGAGAGTGTTTCTTGTGTTGAGTTGACTGATTTTCGGATTTCTTGAATAATCATCCGGGTCACGTCGGGGATTTTGTTGGTGTTCATCCGGCCTTTGTTGATTGCCGAGGATCCTTTTGTTTTTGTTCTTTTGTGGTGGTCATCCGACTTTGCTGGTTGTCAGAAATGTTTTTGATAAGTGCCTCTTAGGTAGGCAGGAATCCTCTAGGGATTTGTTGATCTTGGTGACGCCTCTTGAGTAGGTGGATATCCATTGAGTTTTTGGTAATCCCTCTGAGTAGGCAGATGTTCCGTTTGGAGGTGAAGACTTTTGGTTTTGCTTTTTTCTTTGCCTCTGAATAGGCTAATGTTGCTTTTTTGCTTGCAAGGTTTTGCCTATGCGTTCCACTAGGGATATCCATGTTAGGCAAGTAGCTTTCTAAGGATATGCGTTTGAAGTTTTGCCTTTGTAGTAGGCTCTCTGGGTAAGTTTTTTTTTTTTTTTTTTTTGGTGATCTACTAGGGGATCTAATTTTGGTCGCCTTTTGGGGAATGGAGTTGTGACTCCTTGTTTGGTGTTGATGAGAGCTGGTTTCTTCAAGCTCTTATTTCTCTGGGGAAATGGAGTTTTTTTTGTTTTTTTGTTTCCTGTGCCTCTGAGTAGGCGGATGCTTCATTAGTGGTGAAGACTTTATAATTGCTTGCCTCCTAATAGGTTGATGTCCCTTTTTGGGGAAATTGGCTCTTTGCTTGCCTCTGAGTAGGTAGAGGCTTTCTGGGGATAGTTTTTCTTTTTGATGATCCGCCGGGGATTTGATTGTTTACCTGGAGATCTATTTTGTCTTGCCCTCTAGGGAGAAATGGAGTTTTTGACTCCTTGTTGCATGCTTTTGTTTTGAGCTGGCTTTGCCTATGCTCTTATTCTGCTGGGGATGATCAAGCCTTTCCGTTGGCTTTTTCTGGTGTACCTTTGTTTATTGGTGTAGAAGGTTAGAGCTATTTTCCTTGAAGCTCTTTATTCTGCTGTAATGGTTTTGATTTCGCCTTTTTTCGCGATTTATCTCTTTTTTATCGCGATTTTGATATTTTGGCTTTTTTATGGGGATAATGCGTAAGCCTTTTTACTTTTTAGTCTCTTTTTATTACGCTGGCTTTTTCCCTTCTTTTTTTTGGGGAAGGTCCACTAGGGATGACATTTTATTTCTTTAGTGATCCACCAGGGAATTAGTTGTCTTCCTGGGGATCTGATTTTTCTTTTCTAGGAATGGAGTCTTGACTCCTTGATTGATGTTGATGCGAGCTATATTTGCGAAGCTCTTATTCCACTGGGGGATGGGAATTTCTGATTCCTCTTTTGTTGAATTTTTTGGAGATCCATTTGAGGATTTTTATTCGGCCTTCTCTGTCATGGCCTGTTTGGACATCCGCTGGGGATGCAAGGGTTTTCTTCTTTTTTCCTTTTTTGTTGAGCCCTTGTTGGTATGGAGATTGGACTCTTTTGACTGTTGATGATGGGCTCTTGGAGCCTTTATTCTCCATTGGGGAGTGTGGATGAGACTTTGGGTGAGTGTGCTCGATGACTCATGTGATGGCGGTGCTGAGCCATGGGGAGTACTTTTGTTTTGCCTTCGGAGTAGGCAAGGATCCTCTTGGGGATGACTAAGCCTTTCCGTCGGCTTTTCTTTTATGATGTCTTGATGATTGTGCCCTCTTTGATTGGAGCTTTGGCTTCTGGAAGCTTCTTATGACAACTCATTCTTCTTTCTTGAGGGAGAGCAATGTTTGGAGACTTATTACTTTCTTGTGCCTTCTTTTCTGGGTAGAAGGATGGTAGCTGGAGCTCTTGATTTTTGGAAGCTCTTATTTTGATGAGTTGCTTGATTGACAACTTGCTCCATTTTCTTGAGGGCATTATTTGGAGACTTAGTCTCAGTGATCCTGTTTTCAATCACAAACATGGAGCTAGTCTCCTTATATGCATGAATGCTTTTCGTTTTTTGTTATTTGTCTGAAGTAATTTTTATTTCTTTTATTTTTGACATTGACAAAGTCATTTTGTGCGACTACTTGTGTGTGGATGCCCTAAATGCAATCTATTCTTATTGATTGATGCATCTGGAAAAGTGACTGGCATTCTCCTGCTGGACTTTCATGATTATGATGAAAGACCCCTCTCTTTTGTTCATTTTTTGGTTTAGCCCTATCTTTTGCCTAGATCGCCCTTTTTGGGGTTTTCTGTCTAGCGGGCTGCCTTAATTCTTGCCTAGGGTATCTTAGCGGGCTTTTTTCCTTTTTTATGAATGCCCTAACTTTTGCCTAGACCGCCCTTTGCGGGTTTTCGATCTAGCGGGCTACCCTAACTTTTGCCTAAGAATCTCCTAGCAGGCATTATTCTTTTTATTCTCATTTTTTCTTTATCTTCTTTTTTGAGAGATAGGAGCCTATCATATGCATGCAATGTTGGCGATATGCATCCTATAATACTATTTCAATTAATTTTTCAAAAGGATTAACCAATGTGCTTTTACTTCTGATGAGCTTCTGACGTTATGTGCTTTCGTCGACAGGGATAGGCTGTACCCATTTTTCCGTCTTGATTTTAACGTGACCGAAGAATGATTGTGTTGATTGTAGAGCGACTTGCCATGTTAGTGCGCCCCTCCCTTTCCTTGGGGATGTCGATCCTCCTATTGATTACTATCTCCACATTTCCCTACTAATTACTAGAATGTCGTAGTGGTAAGGGTCAAGAGAAAAGAAGGAAAATGATATTTAATTCAAAGGCTTGTGTTTTAGAATTGTTTTATTTTGACAAAAATGGTTTTTGTAAGCATGGCTAGCCAAGGTTGGTTAGAGTGTTTAGGCTAGTTTAGACAAACGTTTTGTTTATGGAATGGCGTCTTATTCTATGGCGCTTGCTATGACTGATTGACTTCCCCAGTCTGCCCTTTGGGTTTTCAGTCTAGGATGTTGTTTTTGGTTTTGTCCTAACTTTTGTGTAGGTTTCTTTTTTCTTGCTTTGGCGGACTTTATTTTGTAACCCTAATTTTTGCCTAGGCTACCCTTTATGGTTGTTCGGGTTTCCTAGCGGGTTTACCCTAACTTTTGCGTAGCCCCCTTTGTGGGTTTCCTACCGGGTACCTTGCATTCTCTTTTTTTTTTGGCCTTTAGCTTCTATGGGCTTCTTTTGATTTTTGTTTTCTTTTTGCACAACATTGGCGAAACATGACTTTACTTATGATGAGGTAAAACTTTATTTTGTGTTTCTAGTCAATCAGTAGTGATGGATTTGACTTTTATTTTGGTCAATGGCGCATTTTGATTACTTTGACGCATTTTGAAAATGTTTGCTTAAACATGGTTATTAATGAGGTTTAGACATGAATAGCAAGAAGAGAAGCAGATAGTAAGAATGACATTCTTTATAATTAATAGGGAAATATGTGCCCTACAATGCTCGGGGGTCGGGCTAGCCCCGAGGAGTAATCTCTAATAGTCATTGGATTTACAAACCTTAAGAATCAGAAGGAGAACACCTAATGACTAAAGTCACTTTTGACGCTTGAACCCCTCTATTTGGGAAAATCTGATTTGAGGTGCAGAGGGGAGACTTCCCTTTTCTCCATGTAGCTTGATCCTTTGTAGGGTAAGCTTCAAGGGATTGTCTTAAAAATCTGGTGGCTCCCTTATTCCTTGAGAGTTTCTAATGAGCCCTTGGTTTGGGTGGCATCCATATTTTCTCATCATGTGGGTCACCTTCATATTGTTGGGGAAGTCTTTTCATATTAGCAAAAGATATTTCAATGGTCCTTTTCAGTCACATCCATTCAAGGTAAGGCAAACGACTTGCTGATCTGAATGTCGTCTCTAGCTCAAACTGTGACTAACTTGTCGCCTACCGTGAGTTTGTCTTTTTGGCGGAGCGTCGTAAATTGCCTCAGCGTCATGAATCCAAAGTCTCTTCAATTTCCCTTTTTGGATTATGTTTTTCTTCGGTCTTATTATTTTTCTTTATTTGTAGGAGCGTCATCTTACAGCTCCTTGGGGGAATAGATTCTTCCATTTCTAATTTTGCCCCCAAATGCCGGCTATGCTGGAGATATCTTCATTGATGGACGATATTTTTGCGTATCTCCATGGTACAACTTTATTTGAGGTGGGAGGCATGAACAAACGCGATGACGCCCTTGCCCCCTCTCCTTTATTTACTCAGATGACCAACGGTTGAGGCTTATTATCCTCCTTAGGCGGATCAACCGTTGGGAAAAAACTTGATGACAAAATGTTTGCTCTTCATCTTATTCTGATTCACGGAAAGCACATCGACTAATCCTTTCTTTTTATTATCTTATTATTATTAAAGTGAGGATGAATGCAATTTATGAGTGCAATTTATGAGTGCAATTTATGAATGCAATAGACACTTGAACAAACAATTTTATTTATTTCATCCAGGCAGTGTACATTCCTCAATGTAATGTTTCGAAGTACATTTTGTTTTTAAAAGTGGAGAGGCCTAAATGAACCCATAGGCATATTAGAATTCTTATTTATTTTCTTTTTGACTTCCCGTGCATTAACC